ATTTTTAAAAAGCAAAATTAATTTTTTGGGGAGCGGTTGGGGTTGGGGGGGGGGGGGCTAGGGTCAATGATCAGGTGAAAAAATAAAATTTTGAAATTAAAAATATTTATTTAAATTGATGTTTTTTTCCCCCAAAAAAAAGTAATTTGAAATTGGAGGAGAGTTATGGAAAATGTTATCCTTAATTTTTGAAGGGAAGTCATTTTCCTTAATTTTGAGGAAAATGAGCAGATTTGGAAAACATTTTCCAAAACTTTTGTCCCAACCAAACATGGGAAAATTGGAAAACATTTTCCAGATGTTTTCCAGAAAATGTTTTCCTTCATACCAAATACACTCTAAGTGTTAGGATCGAATCCACACACATACTTGATGAATGAAGAACAGAAGAACTTAAGAGAGAAAGAGATCAATATTTTGTGGTAACACCCATGAGTAAACTTCCACGGCGGTGGGTATATATATTAATAATTCAGAGTATTTTAGATTACAGAGAATAAATGGAGACTAAATATTGCAGCCTAAAATTTGGGTTTAGGCGCTGCCCCGAACCAACCTCACCACGGAGGTTAAACAGCGTAAACATTAATATGTGACAATACATCAAATATTAATCAGATTCCACAACCTAACACTAAGGATGTGTTTGGTAGGAAAGAAAAATGTTTTCTTAGAAAACAAATGGATGATTAACTTAGTTTTTTATTTTTGGTTGGTGAGTAGAGGTGGCTTGGGTGGGGGTAGGGGGTAGATCGGCTTAAAGATTGAAATAATAATTTAAATTTGAAATATTTTTTAAAAATAAATGTTTCTTAATTTTTTTTTATAGGAATGGCCTGGGTGGGGGGAGGGAGGAGGGTAGGGGTACGAATTGGCGTAAAAATGATTTTTTTTTTGAAATATCTTTCAAATTTTTTTTGAAGATCTTTTTTTAAACTAATCAATCCTTACTCGCTATCCAAAAAATTGCTTTTGAAAAGTATTTCTATTTAATTTTTCAAAAAATTTCACATCATTTCTGCTGTCACCTGTTAATGTTTTTAAAAAATAAAAATTATTTTTGATAAATATTTCAAATTTTTTAAAAAATCATTTTTTACGCCACCTCCCTCCCCCTTCTCCCCTCTCCCCTCCCCCTTGCGCCACCCCAATCAATTTTATTTTATTTTTTAAAAAAAAATTTTTTGAACAATACTTCAATTTTTTTAAAATTTCATTTTTATGCCAACCCAGCCCCCACTCCACCCAAGCCATACCTGTCAATTTTTTTAATTCAATTTTTTATTTTTTTGCTTGAGGTGCGGAGGGGGAGGCTAGTTTAGTGCTAGGGATAAAAATATATTGAATTTTTTTTCAAAATGGAGAGTGTTGGGTAAAAGGTATGTGTAGGGAAGAAAAAAAAATTAAAGGAGGAAATAGATTTTAAAAAAATGTTTTCCTTAATTTTAGAAGAGATGTCATTTTTCTTAAATTTAAGGAATATAAGTTGATTTTGAAAATATTTTTCAAAACATTTAAGTCAACCAAAATGGAGAATTGATGACATTTTCCAGAAAATATTTTTTCTCCATACCAAACACATCGTAAGCATCTATCTATGCACACCTAGTATTAAAAAATATTGATACCCTTTTAACACTAAAATAAAAGGCTCGTTTGTGTGTCATGTTATTTTTAAAAGTAGATAAGACATTTCGATATAATAACGTGTAAATACGCAAAAAGAGGGATTAGATTGTAATATTATATAAATTAATCCTTGCCAAGTTGAGATTATCATATGTTTTGCCTTCTAAACTATCATCACACTCATACTTAGAACAAAATTTCTTCCTATATCTTAAACCATGGAAAAGTTTCCACATTAAAATATTTAAGCAACTTGCCAAAAAAGTCAGATTTAGGGAGACAAAGACAACTTGCCTTATTTTCGTAAATAGTAAACTAATAATCCCCTCTATCGGGACAAAAAAAAAACAACATCATATAAAATATTACTCCCTTCGTTTTATTTATATGGGCTAATTTGATTAAATACGGAGTATAAAATAAAAATAAAGACTTTTAAAATTTGTAATCTAAAATAAATGATAGACATTCTTTTAGTTATAAATTATTTCATTAAAAATAAAATTAATATTTTAAATTAAATTATTATTTAATATAAAATTATATTATTCTTTTTTAAATTAACTAAAAAGATAAATTATATAAATTAAGATAGAAAAATAGATAAAATAAAGCAACTCGCACAGAACTGGATTTATTATCCCTATAAATTTCTCAAGTTTACAATGAGATAGACACAACTACAATATCTAGCAACATAATATAGCAAAAATGGATTGCAAGATTTCTTCAACAAAGTTGGCTTGTATTGTTGCTTATTTACTTGTTGCATGCTGTAAGTAATTATTTTTATTATTACTTAAGTAATTATTTTTATTATTACTTCTTTCTCATGTGTGTATTGTATATACTTCCTATATCTCATATGTACTGATACTTCTTTCGTTTTAATTAATTTTTTTGGTAATACTATATTAAAAATAATTATTAGCGGAAATTAATTCTTAATTACTTTTAAATATATTTTTTTAGTGGCAAAGTCTATAGCGACATTGGTTCTAATGACAATTAACTAATGTCAGTGAAGTCATTAACACTCTTTATTAATATCAATATTTAATGTCGCTAAAAGTTATTTGTGTTGTACTGTAATGACTTGATACATAATTTAAAAACTAAAAAAATATAAAATTTTGTTGTCTTTACGTTATATAGATATGTGAAATTTATCAAAATATTATTTAATATAGTGGTCTTAAAGATGTAACATAATAAGTTAAAACTAAGACCGTTTGGTTTGAAGATAAGTTATCTTCGGATAAATCATATTGAAATAAGTTACGATAAAATTAAATATGTTGAAATTATTTTTAATTGGTTGTTTAGTTTGTCAAATATGCATGGCATAGTTTCTAAGAATAAGTTGTTTGTTTACAACAATACCACCTAAAAATATGTTGTTTATTTTAGTATAAAACAAGTTTAATGGGTTACTTTTGGTATTTAATATTTTTATTCCATAATAAGTTATTCCAATATTAGTAGAAATAACATATCCCAATCACAATTATCAATCTTGGGATAAGTTATATCATGTTTTTCAATTAAACAAAGAACTGATCTAGGGGTACAGACAACTTATCCTGAGATTATTTTTCTCTATCCAGCACATCAAATATTGTAAAAAATAAAAATAAAAATATTCTTTTTTAAACGGATTTAAAAAAAAACAAGATAAATCAATTGAAACCAATGAAGTATTACTTATTAGTCCACTTAAAAAATTGTTTAATATTAAACTCTCCTTTGTTTTTAGAAAATTTCATCGCAAGTTTAAAAATACAAACTCGTAAAGTTCTTCTTTATCCTTTCAATCTCGCATCTAATTAAATTATGTCACATAAATTAAAATACGTGTGTTGCTCTCTAATATGCAGTTTTTCAACTTCTTATGGCAAACGAGGAGGTCAAGTTAAATGATGAGTTAAACGTCATACAACTTCCAGAGGCAAACTCAGAGGCACTTGATGGTGTGAATCAAGTGTTTGTAACACGATATGGTATGATCAATATTGTCTTCAAATTATTTGTTTCCCTAATTGGTATATACTGTTATGATTTGCAAATCGAAAATATATTTAACTAGAAACGGTTTTAAAATTTTAAGTTTATGATTTTTATAAGTCCAACACATAACTGAACTTTTTAATTTTGCCTCATTTCGTATTTATGTCCTCCATAACTTTGAATTTGCACAAATAGACACTTAAATTGATATAAAGTTTAAACAAATAGACACATGAGTCTTATATGACATAATACACATAAGAAACACAAATTGTCATATAGGATATCAAATAGGACGTATCCGTCGAAGTGAATATATGCTTATGCAAAACCAATGTTGGAGGACAAAGGCAAATTAAATACTTCCTACGTTCCACAAAAATGATCTAGTTTAATTTGATTCGACACGGAGTTAAGATAATAAAGAAAACTTTTGAATCATGTAGTTCTAAATTAAAGTTATGTTAAATTTATAAAATTATTTATAATCCTGTGACCTTAAACATGTCATGTGAAAAATGAAAAATAAAATATTATCAAAAAGATAAAAGGGTCGATCTTTTTAAAATAGATTTAAAAAAATCATTTTTTTTTAAAACAAAGAAAATAACATATTTATATATCATAAATACTTCACAGCTAAATTCATAATCAAATAACTATAATATCTAGTAAAATATTAAAATATATATAAAATCTAGACAAAAGTTACTAGATTCACGTGAATCTAGAAAGTATATCGTTATAATATATAGAATATTATAACATTTTTTTTTTTAAAAAATTTTTTTTTTTGCAGATCGACAACATGTTGTTGGTCCAAATAAAATTGGGGTATGTATAGACCCACCTCCTTGTGGATCTGACAGTGAGTGTGCAAACTCACCTTGTGGTCACAGATGTTTGAGGGATGGGTGGGGACTTCGTTTCTGTCGTTTTTAATATTCTATGCCATGGCATGGAACTCTTCATGTTTTATTTTATCGGAATAAAATTGCGTGTATTTAAAAATTTGTAATCACAAATATTTAATTTTTTTTTAAAAAATAAAGATTTGTGATTTATCGATATAATATCTTATGATATTTTTATTAAAAAAATGATGTAGTTAACATGTCTTAGCTTAATTCATGAGATCTGGTTATTTGCAATTGAATATTGTGATATTTATAACCAAAAAAAATAGCTTCTGTGCATGGTCCATTCAATTATAAGACCACTAAAGTAATGAATCGGTGCTCTAATTTTTACTAAGGATGTGTTCTATATGTAAATTGTTAAAAAAATATAAAAAAATGATCAAAATTGTCACTGAACTATGTGAAATAGATCATTTATACCCTTTGTTACATTTTGAGATAAAAAATGTCCCTGCTATTATCTTAAAAGTTCATAAATGCCCTCAAGAGTAAACACCCCAAATTTTTATTGAGGTTACATGCCACATCGGACTAATCCTTCCACCTAAGCATTGCCAACTAGGATTGACTACAAAAGAATCAGACATTTAGCAGTGACAACAGTCACCACAAAAGTCTAGAAAATCGTCACTGAAAACTTAAACATTTCAATTCTAATTTTGTGTTTTTTTCTTCATTGTTTTTTAAAAGAAATTATATCGATTAAGTAGGGGTTTGAAGACACTGTGTGCTTTAATTTTATGTCATATATAAATTATAAAATGTACAATGTTACATTATATAGTTGGAGATTCGAATCAAAAAGTAATTTTGATGATTTTTCATATAATATTGAATGTTTTTAATATTGGTATGACAAGTTGTTTATTTTAGAAAATTAGGTTGCAATCGAAAATTAGTTATCATATTTTTTTTGTTGAAAAATTAGGTTTTACTAGCGAACGGTTGTTGGAGGCTTTAGTCGCCACTAAAAATCCATCATAACCCTTAGTGACAATATTTTAAGATTTTGTGGCTACTTTGTCACCGCTAAAGGTCAAGTTCTTTTGTAAATAATTTTAGTTGGCAACGATTAGGTGGCGGGATTAGTCCCAGGTGACTTTCCACGTCACTAAAAATTTGGGGTGTTAATTCTTGAAGATATTTGTGGTCTCCTGGGATAACATCGGGGGTATTTTTTTATCACAAAATATAATGAAGAGTATAAACAATGTATTTTCTATAGTTTAAGAGCAATTTTGATCCTTTCCCAAAAAAAAATATCGGTTAAATTTGAAAAGAGAAATGCAATAGTTTTTCGATAATTATAGTGTCATTTCTTAAGTGGCTGCTTAATTTGCTGCCTTATTTATATTCCGACAATTAATATCAATTCACATTATTTTATTCATTTTTCTTTCACTATTTTGTTATCTAAATTGACATAATACATAAATATGATCCTTAACTTGGTGTTAGTTGACAAATATGAACTTTTAACTTTGAGTGTGCACAATTAGACACTTACTTATATAAAATTAAATAAATATACACATTAAATTTGTCCTTTATGGCACCTACATGACAGTTTTGCGTCTTACGTGTACTATATCATGTAAAATACTTGTATAATTTTGTACAAGTTGCACACTCAAAGTCAGTTGGACATAGTTGTTCGCTAAAGTCAAGTTAAGAATTATGTTTATATATTATGTCTATCGAATATTTTGAAGTCTCCCAAACAATCATACATATTACTTTACGTAAAATCTATTGTCCCCTGTCTACAAAAATTGATCAAACTTAGCTTTTGATGTCTTGTTCAAATTTCAAACACCGGAAAGAGTCTACATCATTTCAATATCACGAAGAAGAAAACTGATAAGCCTATTTAATTTCATGATTCAAAATGAACTCTTTCAAAAATTGTTGGTCAGATCGGAGCTTGTTCAACTGTAAGTGCTCAAACTCTTATTGTTGTTGTAGAATCTATTCAAATCATTACATATGCATACTGGGCAATATTGTGGCTTTAAATGGCTTCACTAACGTCCTTCTTCCACTGTAATCGTCACCTGATTGTTGGATACGATGTATTTCTTATCCGAGGAAGAAG